TCTCAAAGCTTGAGTGTATGTGGAAACCGCTCTAAAACCGAGAGTTCCTGGATTGCATGGTGAACACGAACATTCTCCGATTTGGCTTTCAATGTGGGGTAACCAGCCGAAGAGATCTCAAAGACGTCTTTTGTTGGCCATTAGGCCTAATCGCGCTGCAACCAGCCTGTTCATTTCGTCCCACTCCAGAGATATCTTGGTACCATCTGAACGCGTAGCCTTGGCCATGGTCACTATGATGACAGGAGCGGGTCAAGGGCCTAGCGATGCTGGGTAAGATTGTCCTTTTGGTCGAATTCTCTGAAAACTCAAAGACAATCTTAAACTTAAAAAAATCTTTGTAGGGGAGCCAATACATCCCTAACGCCTTAATGGGATCATTTTTATCCCAACTCAACAGAGTTTGACTGAAACGATGCTCAACTGGAATCGAACTCAATAGTCGTAAATCGTTCCAGGACCACTTTCGCAATTCCATGCATTCGGACTTTATTGTTGACGTAACCTGAGAACGTTTATCTTCCGCGTCTGCTGTGGTGTGACCGCCCGAAATTATATGTCGTCAACGTACATCTCGTTCATCTGATGCTAACTGATGCATGACCCTGATAGCCGAGTACGGCGCCAAGGCTGTTCCGAACGTAAGCGTCGTCTACGCGCACGTCTTGATGGCTCCATCCTCCGCCCGACATAAAATTCGCTGGATTTGCGCGTCGTCTTGGGTTTATGTCAATACATCTGTCGGGTCAAGCAGCCAAAATATTATTTCATTATTTCATTATGTTCATTATTTGCACTGTCCATGCGGCCGCTCTTTCATTTTTCCTCGCCTTCTTCGCTTTGTTGTTGCAGTTGCAGCATATAAGCTGGTCTTTCGCATTCTATATGACGTTCGTGCTCGGCTTAACATCTGCCCCGAGCTGCTCTCCTTTCATCGCTCGCTTTCGCTCTCTTTCCAGACTTGCTGCATAGGGCGCTGGCAAGTCGGCCCATCTGCCCTTGTAGCCAGTTGAGAGATAATCTTCGTATCCATCGCATCACTTTATTATATCGGTTACTTTCTCTTACCAATACGAAATAAATTGTACAACTTTACCTATTGAAACGCTAGACTTTTTTCTTAATAATTACTGAGTTTCAACGGCTATTAAAAACTCTTAATAGCCAAACAACATCGATACATATTTTGTATATCTGCCGTGAAAACATACTGGTACTTCCGCAAATTGAGTATGACCGATGATATCTCATTTCGGAGCGTGGGTCCTGCGTTGAGTATGTCGTTTAAAGAGCTTCCATTGCTTGTTTTTGCAGAGCCGTCAAAAACTATAAGCTGCTTCGGGGAAATATTGTCTTCCTTAATGACGGCGTGGTGAGGCAACAGGCATGACGTAGTGTGAGTATGCTTAGACTGGCGGATAGTCAATCTCATTTCACTGCCAACAGCCGGACAGATTTGACCCAACGCGAAGTACTCCTCTATTTCATCACTATATCGTTTCCATCGCTCAGAGGCATTAAAGAGCCTCTATTCCAATTGCCAAAAACGATTGAGCGCCATTTGATGCGATTTTACTAGAATCATCCTTGGATCCCGATATGTTTTAAGCGGACGTCTCGCTACGTAGCGTCCATCCGGTCTGCGTATGTATGTTTTCTGGAAAAACGAATCACACCACCTCCTCTGAGTGGCGATTCCGAGTCCAAAGAAATTTTATAGCAGCATAGCTGGGTAGCCCTCCAGTCCCTCCAGTAGATTGCTGGAACTTTTAGGTTCGGGGAGGCCTTGTCTGACCGAAAGAGAGGTAGGTGACAGGAGGAGCGTTGTGTTGCTGACGAAAATACTTCAAGAAATCGTGGTTGGTGTTTTTGCTGGCGTTATTATTTTTATTACTTAATTCTTCGTGGGCTTGTTTACAATGGAATACTCGCGGAACTTGTTACTTGGCCTGTGAGCCGGTGGACTGCTTAGTCAGTATCTCGTGTTCGGGCTGATGGACTGCCTAGTGCAGCGTCTTGTGTTCTAGGCCTCTTGTGTTCGGTCTGATGTACTGCCTAGTGCAGCGTATTGGGTTTGTGACTGAGGGACTGCCTAGTGCAGTGTCTTGTGTTCGGGCTGATGGACTGCCTGTATCTTGTATTCGGGCTGATGGACTGCCTACTCTTTCGGCCAATCTTGGCCCTTTTATGCAGCTGGCGATCGCACCTGAGACCCGGAAATAATTGCTCATTGCTAACTTAAGGTTATTGGATAACAATAATTGTTGGGTGTGGTAACTATGTTGAAGCTTGGTGCTTCGTTGACAATTTTAGGGGGTCCGCGGGGGTAAGTGGTAAGTCGATGACCTGAGGCCGAATGGTTGCGTAAGATCGCCAGGAGGGTGGTTTTGCTGAGACTACATCACGGAAGGTGCGGGCTGCAGTTGAGTGTTTGGTTACAAAATGAGTTTTTGCTAACTCTGCATCGCGGAGGTTGAGTGGTAAGTCGATGACCTGAGGCCGAATGGTTGCGTAAGATCGCCAGGAGGGTGGTTGACCGAGCATTTTGTGCTATCTTCGCTGATTGCGAAATAATGCAGAATGGGTAGAGATGTTGATTGAGAGTTCTTAATTTTAATAATTGCGTGCGTTGCTTAAGACTATTGTATTTTCCGGGGTGCTGACGCACCGCTATTTGTGAGGAAAAACGTGGTCAGAGCCATGGTTCGGTGTCTCTGCGTATATCAGTTTGATTGTTGTTCCCGAACGGCGTAGATCCGTTGCCGTTCCGCTGTTTGTGACGAGACATGGCTAGAGACATGGTTCGTTACAATGTGATCCCAGTGTTGTGGGACAAAGCTTTGACTCGGAAGGTACGACGTTAATGACTTGAGTGCATATGCCGAGCAGATTTCTAAGGAAAACTGCGGATTAATATTACTGAATGCTTGGAAATTCACCATGTATTTGCTGCGGCGACCACCTTCTTGACCCACGCCTATAATGGATACGTGGGTGCCTGTTCTTTTCAAATGAAGGGATTGGGCCACATGCTCTGATACGATAGTAGCCTCAGATCCCTGATCGATGAGAGCATTGATGATCGCTTAAAGACCATTATCCGGATTCTATATGAAGATGCTGGCGGTTGCAAGGAGGATCTACCTTCTGGGCGCGTTTGACGAAGTGGCTGGGATGACTGCGGTATCATAGGCCGAGCAGTATGCGGTAGCGACTGATTGGAGTGTTGACCGGAGAAGCGACAGGGAAATGTAGCAAAGTATGATGACGTTGCACACACATGACAACCCTTGGTGCTGATGCAGCGAGAAGAGGCATGGGATCGGCTTAAACAATTATGACATAGCTTTTCTTTGCTCACAATATTTATTTATACAAATCTAGAGCGAGAAAGGTTGGACAACGACGCAAGATGTGGTCGCAGTTGCAATGAAGGCATTGGACGGTCAAGCGCTTTTGCATATTCGAGCGTTATGCACTCGAACACGCTTGGTAGAATCCGACGAACCTGGCGAAGTATTGGAGTCGTACGACGAGTTGCGGAACTCGATCGCATCCATTGTGACTAGCCGGTCGTTAAGAAACGGTGGAGCTGCTGCCTTGATGATGCTCCCACGCGCTATGAGTCTCCTTTGGTAGTATCGATGACAGGTAGTGAGTGAGGTAGTGAACATCATATCCCACGCCACCGTGTAATTAGCGCCAGTGAGCTGAATCTGACGAATATCGATATCACGGCCCGGTGGAAGCACCTCTTTGAGAATTGCAACTATTCCACACAGCTTAAACAAGAGCTACCATAGATAAAGCTTAAGCATAATAAAACACAGGGCAATCAATGCATGCGCCGGAAAATTTAGGGACTGGCATTTGTGGCAGTTTTACATGAACCTCAAGGTTGTTACTGTGCCTTGCGGATGAGAGATCAGGCAGGTCTTGAGCTGCAAGTAACAGACTTTCTGACTCCTCAGAAAGGGTACATACCAAATCCATATAACGCTCTTCAAACTCCGAAGAAAAGGCTTTGGTACAATAAGTCGACTCGGCATATCCACTCAAATCGCGGATCTCTTTGTGAGTCTCGCGAAATGCCTTCCGCAGCCACCTGTTCCAGCCGCTTTTGAAAATAAATACTTGTTTTCCTATATTCCGAAGCTGCAAAAACTGAACAGAATGTTCTTTTTTATCTCGTTTAACCCTACTCTTATAAGTTAGGAGTAATGTGGAAAACCGAACAAAATGTTATTTTTTATCTTGTTAAACTCTACTCTTATTTGTTAGGTATGACCGTACATTACCATTGCCACAGATTTTCGCCCGTTGCTGAAGCGGAAGTGGGCAGGGTGAAATTTCGAAATTTGTTTGTAAGAATGTGATAGCCCATGAGCCTGGAAACCAAATTTGGTTGTTCTAGCTCTTATAGTCTCTTAGATCTAGGCGCTCATCGGGACGGACAGACAAACAGACGGACGGACAGACGGACATGGCTATATCGACTCAGCTATTGATGCTGATCAAGAATATATATATTTAATGGGGTCGGAAACGATTCCTTCTCTACGTTACACACACCCACTTTTACCGTAAATCTAATATACCCCGTACGTACAAGTAAGGATTAGATGCGGGAGAAAAACTTGTCGACTGCTTCGAATTGGTCACTTCGGACGAGAGCTCGTTTCTGTGCCTGTGGAAGAAAGTTTAATTGAAAAGGGAAGGGACGGGAGTGATCGCATTACTGATTTTTGGATAATATCGCCTCAAGGCAGAGGTTAAGCGTTTGCCTTGAGCCTTGAGGAGAGATTTTAACCACATCTTTTTTTCTAGCTTCATGTTCATGATTTTGTTGGAACTATTAAAACTCTAACTCTTACTCTCTAGGAAGTCGCACATATGATTTCTGTGACTCATTTTAGCAAATACACTATCAAAAACTTACATCTCAAGTAATGTAAAACAAAAATTTTTTTTTATATTTAACAAGAATATAAATATATTTTAAGTTAAATAGATTTTCGTTTTCCGCAAGAATAAAAGTGCTTAAATCCAATTCATAATAAAAAAATGAAATGAAAAAATAAAGCCTTACATGAAAAATAACAAAATGAACTGCCCAAATATCCCATGGGATTAGTCTGAATTAGGTCTTTACTTCCATTTAATTATGGTCATTTTGGTACTGCGTTTCGTCATTAAGTAGTTTGAGCTCTGCAGTTGTTGACGGAGGCAATATCCTAGCATCACCCATCGTGTCTTTCTCACTCTCAGTTCCAGATGGTAAATTAAGTGGCAGGTTTAGTTTACTCAGAAAACAGGAAAAGTTCACTAATCGGCCTTTGTGCTGGAATGGAATCTTAGGGCACAGCTCGAAAGCATGGTTTACAGGCGGCATGTCACAGCCTTTGCTACAGGACACATCTATAAAGCTCATTAGATCACATATCTCAATCTCGTTACACTCATTGCGATTTAAAATTGATAAAATATTGTCAATCAACTCAAGTGAGAAGGGCAGACGGCAGCCGCGAAGTGTGGAACGAACTTTTGATTCAGGCAAGAATGGTTGGTTAGTGGGATTAATGTGATGAAAATGTTCCATCATGTCCTCGCGAGCATTCCACAATGCACGCTTTAATTCTAAGTGTGCTGCCGCCCGTACACTAACTCTAGAACAACTACTTGGAGAGGTTTGTTCTGCCGAAAAATGCCGGCAAAGCGTGATGATTTCGTGGTCACTGATTACTTTTCCCAGAACTCCGATTAATGCTCCCTTGAAGCTTTCGAAAGATACAAAGACGTCGCGCTTCTTTTCCCAATTGTAACAATCTGGCACGCAGGACCCCACGAACTCAGCCATACGGCTCTGAAGCGCAGAGCGGATTTTTTGCATAATGGTGGGAAGATTGGCGTGGCTAAACTGCTCCGGATGGTGCTCCATAAACATAAGTGTATACTCGTCTGCTGATACCAAATGAAAAATAAAATCTTTCAGGGACATTGTGGACCCGATGAAAAAGTTCCAAGGCATATAGTATTGTGGTTGCTTACTAGAGAATCTCTCTTGTCCGGGCAATTCTAAGCGAGTACGCTTCATGAACTCGCCTCCGAGAAAACCAGAGTTACGTACGGCTACCTCCTGTATCTGTAAGGTATCGTCGCTCAGGTAGTAGCTTATCACAAAGATGCGTTCACAATTTTCTTTGATGGTAGAAAGCATTTTGGCACCAAAGCGCAATACATAGCGATCAAACTTAATAAACTTTTTAAAGTCAGTCTTTGGAGGTTTCGGCTCAACAGATAAGCAATTTCCAACCGAGTCTTCATAGCTTCCCCAGCCGTTATATGGTGGAAGAACACGCTCTTTTGGGCGGTATTCAGTACAGTCGTCCAATCTTGTAGGAATAGCTAGTGGTCTGAAATCTTCGACACCATAGCGTTGGCGATAGTACTGCTGTGTAAAAGGGTCCAGTTCGGTTATGATAACAGCCCGACCGTAGACATTTATCACACTGCCAATTTGTAGATCCCGTTCGCTATAATACATAATATCCTTGTTGCCTGTGTTTAAAGGGTCAACACAGTATCGTACGTTGCGCATATTAGTTCCTAAGACGTTAAGTAGTGTTATCGGTGTCGTTTGTCCTGGCAATAAAAGTCCGTCAAACTCCTGTAATTCAAAACATTTAGTGGTGTATGATAAAATTTGTATAGCTATAAATATTGTTATAAATATTGTTACTCACCCGTGCCAGACGTGCTCGTTTCAGAAATACGGTTGGTCCGTCGCGACCAGAGTTGCGCACATGTACCTCCTTGATTTCTATGGTATCGTCAGCCAAATAGTAGCAGAGCTCTAACTTGCGAACGTCTCCAAACTCAGTTCGATCATCCCAGTACGCATGAAATTTGAGTATCTGTCGATCATATTTTAAAAATTGCGCAAAAGCATGTTTTTTTTCAGGAGGGTTGACAGCGCGTATCTTTTCGCGATTACGCACGGAATTAGTTGGATCGCTGTACATTATTTTCATAATAAGGAATGTAATGAAGTAAGGACTAGGGTACTGTACATATAAATGCATGGGTATATAAAATTTCTTACCAAGGGAACTTCATTGAATCCGGTACGGTAATGCCGCGTCTGTTTAGAAAGTCACGAGTGAACTGATCGCAGTCTATAATGTGATATTGACGATCGAAAATCTGGACCGTCAAATCAATATTCAAATCAGTTAGAGACATGAACTCATTGTCACAGGGCGGCGCTTTTTGAACGCGCTGACGATGTACCACGCAGCCCTGAACTATGCCGGAATTATCTACTCGAGGCTCATAAATCTCTAAAGTGCCATCTTCTAGATAGAAGTAAATCTTAACCTTTCGAACCAAGTATGGTGCATGGTAGACCTCCTGCAAAGTTTGTTTGAAATAGGCACTAAAGCAGAGAACCTTCTTGTCGTAAGCCAACCAGGGTGGTATGCGTGGCCCGGAACGTGGTGGATAGATGGAAGATGCGCCAACCGGTGGGCAGCTAATGTCTACTACGTCGCCATTGGGGTCAATTGGTGCGGGTTGCTGACGATCGTTAAGCATGCTGAGACCCTGGAGGTTCAGCAAAGATTGTGGCTTAGGGTAATGACCCTTAGAGACCTAATTTTTAGAAAAAAGTTTTTGGGTGGTTTTTTTCAGGGAGTCGTTTAATGATGAAAGTACTTACGTCACGAAAAAGCGTGCCCGGAAGCAGTGGCATACCCGGAATCCGCAGCATTATATAGCTGATTAAATATATAAGCTTTTGCGTAACTAGTATTTCAATATTTTGTGTGTTACTTGAAATATGTGTGCGTTTAATGATACTATGTACTAAGCGTCCCTTAAAAACAAAACAAAAGTTATGTAAGTCGCATGGCCTACTAAAAAATATTCCTACCAAATATACTTGTAGATTGGTTACCAGATATACAGCCGATTATATTGTGCGACACTATTTTCACTGAACGAACCAAACCGACATGGAGGTCTTGGCTGACAAGAAGAGGCTTCCTGAGCTGAAGCTACCTAGCTTTTCCAGTGAATATGTGGAATACTTGGACTTTATTTCCTGAAGAGAAGTTACAATATCTTCGCTTCTGTTTCTCGAATGCGGCCTTGAATTCGGTACGATCGTTGGAGCCCTCCAGTATCAATTATCGTATGGCTCTGAATATACTCAGTAAACTTTATAATATTAAACGACATGTTTTTCAGCGAAATATCAAGGAAGTTCTTGGGCTCAAAAAGGTAGATTCGCCTTCTGCTTCGAGAGTTTTCGGATGCAGTCAACTGCAAACATTAGGAAGTGCAGAGGAGATATCGGGATTCATGATAATCCACATGATGCTGCAGAAGTTGGATTTGAAGACAAAAACCAAATGGGAAGAGACTGAGTCATCGGCCAAAATATCTAAATCTGGGAAGTTTTCCGATTTCTTGGAGAAACGCTACCAGGAGATGGGGAACGTGCTATACGCTATAGCGACAAAGCTACAGCCCATTTAAAGAAAAAACGAGAAGGAACGTGTGAGTCGCTTCTGGGAACGCGACTCTATTTATACCCGTACTCAGTCAGTATATACATGTGGTGATGAACTGGTTCTCTTCGATTAAGACTCTCTCTCACTGTGATAACGTGCTGCTTGAAATTAGGCTTACGCTTGAGTTATTTAAAATAAGGTTTTGTCTTTATTCGTATATATATAAATGTAATGGTTTTTAACTTAAGTTTTCACAATTTCTCAATTCTGTTCTCAATTTTCATCCGAGCTGAGCACACACAACCTCTTTCTCTCGTAACCAGAACTCTACTCTTTCGATTATTCGATTCCTCTTCTTTGCTTGATCAACTCGATATTCATCTACTCGATTATTAATATTAGGGATATTCTTGCTTATGACTTTCCTACATTCGGCCATCCGACCTCCACATTCGTCCCGAATGCTGGACTCCATTTCTTCATGTATTCTGCTACAGTATTAGTCCTATTAGGTCCCTCTTCTTCACCCAACTTTTCGACTAAATATCTACCATACCTCAATTTACGGACTACTCTATAAGGACCTATATATTTTTTCTTCAACTTTAAACCTGCCCCAAACTGCGTTCGCTTGATGGCAACCAAATCATCAATCTCGTACTCGCTTTCTTTTTTTTCGCTCCTTATTATACGTCTTACTATTCTCTTCGTGCAGTTTAGCTATATTTTCTTTCGCTGTCTTACGTATTTCATCCTTCTCACTCTGTAGTTCAGCTAGAAACTCTTCTTCCAAGATGGCTTTCAACTCCATATCATACTCCTTTCTCATTTCAATACCTGTCAATATCTTAAACGGCGACACTTTCGTACTCCTAGGCGGTGACGAATTTATGAATTGTTGAACCCTCCCGACGTTCTTATACCAAACCTTAGGATCTTCCGCACACAATTTTGTTAATAACGATATAACAGTCCTATTCAGACGCTCAACTTGCCCGTTTCCTCTCGGCACTCCCGTAGCAATGAGCAAATGCTGTATATTTTGCGAATCGCAGTATTCCTTAAAGACGTTGGAAGTAAACGCAGTACCCCGGTCGGTAACGACCCGTTTTGGATTTCCAAACAACTCTGATTGCCTTTGTAACCTTTCAACAACTTCTTCTGAACCAGTGCTCCTTGTTGGGTACAACCATACATACTTCGAGAAAGCATCCACAACTACCAAAATATGATTGTAGCGTTTTTTTGTTAACTCCATGGGGCCCACATGGTCAATATGAAAAGTACTCAATGGTTTGTCGCCCTTATCAATGCAATTAAGAAAACCTTCTTTCCGACCCTGTTTAGCCTCACTCACAATACACTCCAAACATGACTTGACAATCATCTCCACTTTACTCGTCAAACTCGGTATATAATAATCTCGCTGTACTAGATCGGCAGTCTTCTTTATCCCAAAATGACCTTGTCTATGAGCCATAAGAATAATCTCCTTTTCCATGCTGGAGGGTATGACAATGAGTTCCTTAATGGGATCTTTATGTAAAATACCATACTGCATATAAAAGTCGTCATAAGTTCCTTGTTCTAACACCTTACCTATCACGCTTGTCCATTCGTCCAATCTTTGAGCATTCTGTATTTTACTCTTGATCGAATCTTCTAATAAAAGACAATGCACCCTGCTAAGTGCATCGACGTGTTTCATTCTGACGCCCGACCGATGCTCAACAGCAAACTCAAAATCTTGCAAAAATATCGCCCAGCGGGCCACTCTTAGCGGAACGTCTCGTTTTTTCATGGTCATTGCAAATGCATTGCAATCTGTAACAATCTTTATTCTTATTCCCATTACGTATACTCTCCATTTCTTCAATGCCTGGATTATCGCCAGTACCTCCAACTCATATGAATGATATTTTTCTTCGGCTGGCGTAGTTTTCCTACTCATATACTCTACTGGGTGAAACTGTTGATCTTCCGAACTTCTTTGCAACAAAATGGCTCCGTAACCAAACTTGCTAGCATCACAATGAATCTCAGTAATCCCTTTTGGATTGAAAAGACGCAAGACTGGCGGATTGGTTAAACAAACCTTTAGCTGTGCAAAAGAGGCCAATTCTTCCGCACCCATTTTAAAAGACACCTCTTTCTTTAACAGATTCGTCAGCGGTTTAGCGAGCGTGGCGAAATCCTGAACGAACCTACGAAAATATGATGTGAGACCCAGATAACGCTGGACTCCTTTTTTATCTCGTGGCACTGGAAAATTCTCAACTGCTCCCGTTTTCTCTCTTGACGGCTTAATCGTCCCGTTCTCTATAATGTATCCCAGAAAATTGACTCTACGCTGCAAAAACTGACACTTACTCCATTTTATTTTTAATCCTGACCGTTCTGCCAACCCAAAACCCTTTCCAGCTTATCGATTCCTTCTAGTTCACTCTCTGCTGGTATGATAATGTCGTCCATATACAACATCAAAACGCCCTCATTTATAAGTGGCCTCAAAACCGCGAATATATACCGCGTGAACACCGCTGCCGAATTATTGATCCCGAATGGTACAAAATTAAACTCGTATTGGCCATTCTGAGTAACAAACGATGTAAACTTCTTAGAGTTCTCCTCTACGGGTACGTGAAAATATCCATTACGCAAATCGAGTGTCGTAAATACTTTTGCTTTCTGCAATTTGTGTAACACTTCATCAATAACAGCCGTCGGGAAATTGTCTCGTATAATCTTCTGGTTGAGTTTTCTATAGTCACAACACAATCTCTTTTTACCATCTTTCTTTGGAACGAGCACAATGGGTGAAGAGTATTCCGAAAAACTTTGTCGAATGATTCCTTCTTCTAACCACTCCTCAATTTGCTGATCCACCCTTTTCTGTTCTTCATACGGTAAGCGTCTCGGTCTCTGGTACACAGGCACTTCGTCCGTGAGTATAATCTTCATTTCTACTGGACAATAAGCTGACTTCACTGGATTATACTTAGTAATCAAATCCGTTAATATCTCCTTCGTCTTGACACCCAAATGTGAAAAATCGACTTCTGACGACAAATCTTCTATCGCTTCTATCGTCATTATTTTCTCGAACGTATCTTTTAACTCCGCTACCTGGATTTCTGATGACACAGGGATAGAATTACGAATATTACTATGATGAGCCATATTGGTTCGAACGCTTTCCTCTATATCAGATTTCTTATCTTTTCCGAGTGCCCTATTGTCGTTATGGAAAACTACTCCTTTTTTTCCAATTGTAACGCTTACTACTTCTAATACGTCACTACCGATTACTGCGCTATATAAAGTATCTCTATCTTTGACCACGTGAAAACACATCTCAATCGGAATGCCATCCAGCTCAGAATCGACCATGAAAAACCCAAGTGTATAAATTCTCTTTCCTCCGATTCCAATTAATTCCTTCACCTGAGCCGTCAATGGGATCGGACAGACTCGCTTATATGCACTCTCACTCATAGTGCATATATCGCTACCCGAATCGAACAGAGCCGGTATCACCTCGTTCTCGAATCGAATATCCTTAAATACACGGTTGCACAGTTTCTGAACTAGTTGTTGTGGAGTCGATGCCTCGTTCTTTATATCTTTCTTTTTCTCTTTGCACTGATTCGCCTTATGTCCCAATTGATCGCATTTAAAACATTTGATGTCCTTCTGACCACAATCTCTAGCGAGATGATTTTTTTTTCTGCATTTGAAACATCTAGGATCATCTTTCTTACTTTTCTGCTCCCTATTCTCGAACTTCTGCTTCAAACTTGACTCTTGCCTATACGATGTTTTCTCATATATCTTCATTTTCTCTCGCAACTCTTTGAAACCTGTAGCCTGATACAACACACTCTTGTTTAGCTTCGTGTCAGGGATGCCTTCTATTATATACTCCATCACACTTTCTTCATCCAAATTACTCTTTTTTGCCAGACTCTTCATTTGATAAAAATATTCTACTAAACTCTCGTTTGATTTCTTCTTCCTATTCTCAAGTTGCTTGTGTACTTGCTTTGCAGACAATTTCTCTGTAAACTCTTCTTCCAAAGCTGCTTTGAGCGTATCCCAATTAGTAAGGCCCTCTTGACTGCTTACGAACAACTTCGCTGCTCCTTTCAGCAACTGTCTACTATATACGAACTTCTGTAAAGCGTTCCACTGTACTGTCTCTGCAGTGCTCTCAAAATCTGCCAGCCAGTCATTAATATCCTTATGTTGGCTGCCATCAAACTCGACCAATGAATCTCGAATATCTTTGAGCGTAAACGCCATTGTATTTTTTGTTTCGCGTTGCTTACTGGGACTCTCTAAACTAAGATCTGTTGTGTCCTCATATATGGACTCTTCACTAATTCCCGGCTCAAAATACGAAATTAATCTCTCTTGTAATTCCGCTTTGTTCCCTTTTGTTTTTAACTTGTATTCTTTTAACTTCTCTTTTAGCTCGGCTACGGTGAGTTGTGTGATCTCGTCGGTCAACATTAATATCGTAATTACTTAGCAATATTCTTAAAATTAGTGTTTAAGTATTTTCATTAGTATTTACGAATTATATATAATATAAAATATGTTTTATCCCTTCATTTAATCTCAATTATTCTATCCTTATTTATCTTACTCTGTCCCTGTAAATACTTGCGTCGACTTCTTCGTTGGGTTACACCTTCTTGACGTAGTTACTTCTCACGTCGTTTGTCTTGCCTGCACCCCTACACACGTCTGATGGATGATGCCGTTGCCTGTGTATGTGGGTGCCGCTCTCTGGTTTCTGCTCTGGTTTCTGATCTGCTCTGTTGGTGATGGTGCCGTCGCCTGTGTATGTGAATGCCGCGCTCTGGATTTTGCTCTGCTCCTTGTTTGTATGTTCCCGCTCGTTCACCACGCCGCACACATACACAAGTACGCTGGATGATGCCGTCGTCAGTGTATGTGTAAGCTGCCTCTCGATTCTGCTCTGCTCTCTGGATTCTGCTCTGCTCTGTTTTTTCTCTTGGTTTTGATCCACTGTTGCTACTACTTGCTTCCCTGTATCTCAGTTTCTCACAGTTCTACGTAGTAGTTTTCAACAGTCTTTGGTGCACTCTATACAATGTGCCTCGTTATCATTTGCTTCACTGTCTCTCACAGTTTCACACAATAGATATTTCTCGTCTCTTGCGCACTCTCCGTGTGCCTTCTTTCTCCTTCTCGTTGTCTTCTTTGATTTTTCCTTCGCTCACGCGTGCACGAACATAACGGATAATGCTGTTACTGCTCTTCTGCTTGCGGTTGCTGTCATATTCCGTCTTCGCCGCTCTCGTAGTATTTCACCATACTCATAGGCTATTGTGAAATTACCATTTTGGTGTGTGTGTGTCGCTCAATGCGCTGTCTCGCCGAATTTTTCTGCACATTCGGCAATCTGCTTTTCCTGGGTGTTTTGTATATTGCAGTAATGTTGCAACAATTTAATGATTGATGTACACCATTGCTTTTAAATTTCTTGGACGAGCCCCCATTAATGTGGTGATGAACTGGTTCTCTTCGATTAAGACTTTCTCTCACTGTGATAACGTGCTGCTTGAAATT